CCCCCGTGGCATTTTTTTTTTTAAGGCAGGAAACTCATTTTTTTGTGTGCTCCAAATCTTTTTTTTTTTTTTCTTCCCCTGTTGGCGTCTTTTAAGAGGCCAGGCCCTGTCTGAGGTCACCCTGGGCCCCAGCATCTGCTCTAGGTGGGCTGGGGCTCAGGGGGAAGAGGTGGCTGGCAGAGCTGACCTGGCGACTCCTCCCCACAGAAGGTGCCATGCGAGCCAGCGAGACTGTGTCAGAGGCCAGCCCAGGTGCCACAGCCAGCCAGACCGGCGTCCCCACCCAGGTGGTGCAGCAGGTGCAGGGCACCCAGCAGGTAGGATACAGCCCTCACTGGGCAGCAGACAGGGCGGGCACATAGGGCGCCTTTCCTCCCTCCTAACCCCACTCCAGGGCCACCTGCTCACCTGTGCTTATCAAGATGCACAGAGAGGCCTGCCTGGCTCAGGGCCTGTGCCTTCTGCCCTCCAGCAGCTGCTGGTCCAGAGCGTGCAGGCCAAGCCAGGCCATGTGTCCCCGCTCCAGCTCACCAACATCCAGGTGCCCCAGCAGGTAAGGCTCAGCCTCCAGGCCCCACTCCTACCCAGGCTGGGGAACCAAAGCCCCTGAGGCTGCTTTGATGTCTTTTTTGGGGGCTTATTTCAGCAGTACTAGGGGTTGAACCAGGGGCTTTCTTTACACTGAGCTACATCCTTAGTTCTTAAATTTTTATTTAGTTTTTAATTTTGAGATAGTATCTTGCTAAGTCACTGAGTTCCCAGGCTGGGCTCAGACTTCCTTCCTCAGCTCCCAGAGTACTGGGATTAAGGTGTGTGCCATTTCATCTGGCTGGGTGTGTCCTTGCCAGAATCGAGGACACAACCCCATCCAGAGTGACTTCTTCTCCTTGAGGCTCCCACACACAAAACCTGGCTCTGCCACTTCCTGGCTCCAGGACTTAGGCAAGGGCTCTTGCTGTCCTGAGCCTGGGTGTCACCTGCTGTGAAGTGTGTTAATTGTCCTGCACAGGGCCTAATGGGGGTGAGCTCCGAGAATGCAGCCTGGCACCCAGCTGTCTGGGTGATGATGCCCTCTTCTGCCCGGCTGCAGGTTCTCCCCACGCAGCGTCTGGTGGTACAGAGTGTGGCACCCGGCAGTAAGGGCAGCCAGGTCTCCTTAACGGTGCACGGAACTCAGCAGGTGCACTCACCCCCAGAGGTAAGTGGGGCCTGCAGACACCCACCCTGACCACTGGTCCTCTGTGGGATCAGCCTGCTCCCCCACAGCACACGGGGAGCTGCCTGCCCAGCCCATTCACTTCTGAGTCCTCTACCCTGGCCTGGGAAGTAGGGATGACTCACCTGCCCACCCACCCGGTAAGCACTCGGGGCCAAGCAACTGAGAGCCACAGTCCCAGAGGAGGGGCAGCTCCTCTCCAGGCCAAGGTAGTAATCACAGTTCCAGCTCAGGAGTTGCATCCTGGGTACAGAGTGGGTGGAGTCATACGTGGGCCACATGGTGGACTCTGAGGACCCACAGTCAGCCTCGAGAGTGTTGGAGGCAGGTGGGCCACAGGTGTTTCGGAGCACAAGGTCAGCTGCCCCGGCTCAGCATGAACCCCACTGAGCGAACACAGAGCGTTCAAAGCTGCATCTGGTGGGAGCCAGCCGGACCTCAGACAGCTCAGCGGGGCTCTCATCTCAGGCAGCTCTCCTCTGATGATGGGGCAGCAGGAGGCTCTTGAGCCATCTCTGGGCCTGGGGGAGAGCAGGCTGTTGTCAGAAATGGGCATCTGTCCCGTTACTGGCCTAGGTGGTTTGGGACAGGGCCTCCAGCCGTCCCTGACTAAGATCCGCCTTTCCTTTCTTGCAGCGGTCTCCAGTGCAGGCCAACAGTTCCTCCAGCAAGACGGCTGGGACGCCTGCGGGCACAGTGCCACAGCCACTGCAGGTCCACGGCGTCCAGCAGAGTGTCCCTGTATCCCAAGAGGTGCCTGACCAGGGTGGGCTACGGCTGGGACGGAGGGGCTGGGCCAAGTGGTCTCTGGCTGGTTTGAGGGGAGCAGATGGGTCTAACCCCTTGCCACCCAGGCCCCTGGCAGCCTCTCCACTTGGGGTGCTGTGGTGGGGGCTGTTGTGGGGAGGAAGTGCAGACCCCAGGAAAGGGCTGGATGCAGAGCAGGCCCTGGAGCTGCCTCTAGAACCCACCGTGGCTACTGCAGGCTGGTGTGCTGGGAGGAAACCCCCAGGCCAGGACAGTGCACCGTGAGAGAAGCAGAAGCTGGCACTCCGAGCCCCCAGCCAGTGCCCGGAGAAGGTTAAGAGGAAAGGACTGTCCTCCCCCTGGTTGTTACTGCTCAAGTTGGGTGATTCCTGGTCCCTCTGAGAGCTGAGTGATTCCTGGTCCTCATGAGAACCAGATGGAGCCAGGCACAGTGCATGTGCCGTAGTCCCAGCTACTGGGGAAGCCAAGACAGGAAGATTAATGGAGCCAACCTGGGCAACATAGCCATAGACACTTCCCAGAAGGAACACAGAAATCCTATCCCAGTGGATCCATAGATGTTGTCTGCTCAGGGCCAGAGCCCTCAGAACCTCACAGCTGGGGTCCGTCCGAGTCCTGGCCACTGTGCCCTTAGCATAGCCTGGCATCCCTGCTGGATCATTGCAGTGACGACTGTTAGCCCTGGAGTGTGGATACCCAAGATAACTGATGGCCCCCCCTGCCAGTTCTCTGCACTCTCGCTGGAGCCTAGGAGGGAGGGCGTGGCTCTGGCAGCACACACCTGGAAGTAGGTGCAGAGAGACCCAAGGCCCACTGTGCTGCTCTCCCGGTGGAGAAGGGCAACCTTTTACCTGGAGAGCTGTTCTCAACCTGAGAATGGGTTCTTATGTGGGGCTTACCGCCTCCACTGTTGCAGTAGTTACTGTAGTGCCACCTTGCCTTTTGCTCCTTCCCTTTCCAGAGGTCAGTGGTCCAGGCCACCCCACAGGCACCCAAAGCTAGCCCGGTACAGCAGCTGACCGTGCAGGGGCTCCAGCCAGTCCACGTGGCCCAAGAGGTGTGTCTCCCGGACCCCACAGGCGAGCTGGGGCTGGGGGGTAGGGAAGGAATACAGACCCCACCCCAGGGGGCCCCAGACTCCAATCCAGGAGTTCAGCCTCTTGCTGTGGGCTGCTGTCCCCTACGTGGCTCCTCCCCTCTGGCAGCACCCAGCAGCTCAGGGCCCAGGCTTTTCAGTGACCTGGGTTCAGTCCCACTGTTTTCTGGCCTGGGGGGTCAAATTCGCTTCCCTCCCTGACTCCCTTCTTCCTGCGACACCAGGTGGGATCTCCGTCTGGGGTGGGCCCGAGGCTGCCTGGTGACCCCCCAGTGTCTCTGTTTGTCCTCCAGAGCTCAGGCAGGCAGTGCCCCGCTAGGAAGGCAGATCAGCGAGCGGCCC